CGACTCACCGGATGATGTTTGCTGAGTCGAAATATCCGAACTCACGTCGGGTCAACCACTTGTCGGGGTCACCACTTGTCGGTGTTCCCACTTGTTGGATTTTGGTAACGCCTTTTGGTTGCTGAGTTCCTGGTTTATTAACCCGTCATTCTCGGATGCCAAAAGGGATTGAATACGTGTATTCCCATAAAGGTATATTTGGAGCTCCCAGGTGTTATACACGAGGCAGTCTAGAGTCAGCCGGCTATTCAAAAGGAAAATTGATCGATGTGTGAAGCGTTTGAAAGAATAATCGATACAGCTGGCAATATTATCAGCTGACCGGAAGATTATGTCATGAAAGGTGAAAGAAACACTACAGAGCATACTCGCCGGTTTGGGCATTTTTCGGTAAGACTGATTTCGTTTGTAATGGAGTTTCATCTGGCTTGATTATAATCGGCCCGAATTTGAGGCGGAGTCTAATTTTATGTTTTATCATGGGAAAACTTTCAGCAAGCCACTGGCTGTGAAAGCTGAATATAATTGGGCAGCTTTGTTTGCTGCTCTCTTTCCTCAGGCGCTTAAATATGTGGGTCTCGGGTGATGGGTTGCAGCTATTGAGTATCTAGCGTTTGAGTTCATCCAACGGAAGTCTATCATGGTCGTTGAAGAGTATTACATTATTCTACCGATTAGCGCGTTCATTAACTTCTGAGGTGATAGAGGAAACGAAATTGCTTGCAGCTTTAACTGTAATGGAAGTACAAGCTTCTTGAGTGTGCGTGAGACAGGAGAATGGGGCTAGTAACGCTAGACCCTCGTTGAGAGAGACAACTTCTTGTTTTAACATGTTCAGCTGGTCTTCTAAGGGCTGCGCATTTGCATAGAATCCTATCGGTCGGTCAGACAATACTACGTCACTATTTCTCAGCATTGCAGTAGATGAATCGTTTATATGGGTGAAAGATTGCACCGCATTGCTCAATGATGGCACTGTTGAAGTTGTTGTTACGGATACTTCACAGGGAACAGAACAGTCATTGGTGGAGGAAGAATGATTCGGCTTAGCAGTCCTACGTTTAGCCCGGATCTCCGCACTGGTTGTATTAACTTGCACTCCGTTTCTTTCAGCCATTAGGAAATAGCAAGCAAACTTTGAAGCCAACGGAGGGACTTGTCCTTGCTATAATACAACACGGGTAGTGTAACTATTCTACGGAATAGTAGCAAGATGTCAAACTAGCTAGCAAAATTACGAAAACGCAACCGGACTTCGCTAATCGCAGTAAGTAAGATGTGGTAATATGATTGCGAGGCGAGCTAAACCCATCTATGTAGGCCCGTGCTTGCTGCATCTCTCCAAATTTCCAAAATAACGAGCTATGCGGAAGCTACTAAAAATCCTCGGAATGATGATTTATATTGAGGTCCCGGGGACGAGCCCACGTGCTTCAAATCAACTGGCTGTTGGATGACGGAGCAGCCATCGTTAGGTGAGAAGCCATCATGCGCCGGTCGCCGTAGCTGTGGAAATAACAGGCAAAACAAGTAACCAACAAAAGGCAACCAAGCATACGCACAGACGGTAAGTTTTGATAGCTACTATTAAATGTGTGATTATATCTAGTGGGTAAGACAAGGCTATTGCTTGGCAAATGTTTCCTTGAATAGTTGCCGACTTTACAGCGGAAGTACATCTGTTTTGTATGAGTGCATGATGTTTAGGCTAGGTAAAATGGAAGAAGTGTACTTCCGTGACGGAGTAGAGCACTTTGACTATGCGACCAGTGAGGGCAGCATACAGCACTGCCTTCGAGACTGTGGGAGGCGCAAATTTGGACAACTCCCATGGTTTGGATGCAAATGTTTGGTTGGGGATAGCGCAAGCAGTGTAATGACTGTCAAGTTAGAAGCTGTCAACTTCCGAGTTGTTAATGTTTGTCCATCACCATTCAGTAAATCGTTGGCGGCTTTAAATGATGCTGCTGTATCAGATGGTAAGTTTAAACATGGTCAGCAATGAGTTAGGTGAGTGCTACGTATACACCTATGTTGCTGACGGTGAAAGCAGAGACAGGTTCGATCACTAAAGGTTTACGGATAGCAAATAATGATTTGCAGCACTGTGCATATGTTCTCAATATGCAAAACGTGGAAGCTTACTGATATGACCTGAACTATTCCAAGTAGGTGGATAAAAGACTAGATCGTGGATAGGTCCAGTTAGTATTGATACAGCGAGGTCAACTGTCAAGGGTCGACTGGTGTCACGTCATGGCTGATTTATACGGTCTATTAATGGGTAACACACTGATGATTGTCTGGGCAGTGGCGCCATCTGATTGTAGTTAAGGGATAGCTGGGATCGGGTAATGCGAAGCATCTGGGTTAGGCTACGACAATAAGAGAGGAACGTTCTGAGTACACTAGGAGACCCTTTTGAAGGCGTTGTTGATTCAGTATACATTCTAGCGGACGGCTTTATAATATGGGAGTGCCATCCTGGCACGTGCTCATTAAAACTAGCTCAACCTACCATTGTCGACGTTCCCTGAATGTGTAGTTCCAACTTCGTTGATCTCTTGCAGTCGGACTTACGTAACGGACGAAAGAGGAAAGAAAATACAATAAAATTAAGGAAAACAATTTATGAACATAAAAGCAGGTGAACATGTTCAACATGAGTACATGTGCTCAGTTAAACAAATAAATAAATAAATATTTTACGCTCGACAAAGCGAGGCACGACTTTTGGACATGATCAGAATATTGCCATACGGTACATGATAGTGGGATTAGCAGCGCCAAGAGCGGGAGCAGTACAGTTGGAGACAGTAGTGTGGGCCCATATGGCCCAAAGGTTGTACGAAGTCTATGTACACAGGATGCAAGATGTAGAGATTAGAATCAGATCACTAATGTGCAGCATGTTGATGAGGAACTAGTCCGATTAAGTTGTGTAAACAGTGCGGGTCAGGTAAGTGAAACAGAAGGAGAAGCTGAAAAAATTTAAGAAAAGTGGCTTTTCACAAATCAAATACGTAGGCATGTTCCTACGGGAGCAGATATATGCACAAATTTGTAAATGTGGTATCGGTCAGCTTGCCGATGTGTTTTAGGGGCGGTGAATTTATTGAGTGGCGAGTCACATCCGCCAAGTCGCAGTGTTGTTAAACAGTCATTTGTGGCTTTTTGTAGGGAAAGCGCTTGCCAGACGGAGACCCACCACGTCATGGAACACTGCCGACTGGTGATAAGAAGGTGAAAAGATCGCGTCTGACTGAGTACCCTCGCAGATATTCGCAGACAAGTTTCGCCAATTTGTTTTCCATGGTTGCGTAGTTTCCTTCGGAGTCGATCGCAAATGGTTGGAGCCGTTGAAGTCAAACGACTCAGGAGACATGTATTGATTTTATAAGTATTCTGGGTCCCGTTAGTGTCAGGATTGCGAAGTGCGGGTGATTTCTTGGCATGTGAAACTTTGCGGCTGCAAACAAATCGCATCCGCCTGCTGCTCAAAAATAAAGTGTGAAAAATCTCAAACCTGTCAACTAACAAATTTATCAACTTTTCACAATGCAAAGGTAAACTTAATCCAATAAATAATTCTCTTCAAGTGAACTGTGTTTGTTTCTTACAATGAAAAATCCCGACTGTTACAGGACCGGAAAAGTTACACTCGGTGTAAGTGAATGTTTAGCTGCCAAAGCCACGGTGTTGAGAAATGGTGTTTACAAACAAATCACTATCAAATTTAAGACCCTAAATACCATAAAACCAGCCCAGTATAGCACAGTACATATCATTTATTAGGTACTTATTAACATGACGGTAATAAGCATTAGGGTGAATCAGAATTTAGAAATAAAGCAGGCATGGGCCAGTTGGCGCTAAGAAAGTGGCCTCTTGAGCCAAGACTTTTAACGGCATCCGTCACGTTCGATCCAGCAGGTAAAAGACACAATTAAAAAATTCTAAATAACCGGCAACTGCAATGTATGCTTCACTCCAGAATAACCAATGCATAAGTTTAAAAACTTACAAGGGCGTTTAGTTGGGACAAAACGTTTAATTCCCCTTTTTTTACTGAGGCTCAGCAAAATAAGCGCACCAGGAACATACGTCGGTGAATAATGGCTAAGAGTTTCACCTGGATTCCTGGTCGTTAGTGGTGAAAATTTATTTGCACGTTGCACGAAAAAGAACCATGTAACGTTTGTTCTTGGATTTGTAGTCTAAATCAGTTTGAACAACATTAAAATTTGCTAGAAGCGACTGTTGTGGTTAAGTGTTGGTCCAGCTTGGTATGTATAGAGAGACCACGCTTATAGTGTCGACCGTGTTAGTCGTTAAAACTCATGAGGTTAATAATAGGATTTACTTCATTCATGTGTTCAATGGCGCATGCGATCTATGGCATCAAGTAAAGAAACACGATTGTGAAAAGTGGTAAAATGCAGCAGCAGGTGCACTCGGGTCCCTGTTATAGTACTTTGGTATATGATCGAATCGTTTGGCGTTTTAGCCGGTTTAAATATTTTTAGTCAGCGTCTTTTGTGTTGAGTTGGATTACTCATCATTGACTTTTACCGCGCCTTATCGAATTCGTCGGTAAAAATCCAAGGGGCCGTTTGCTTTCACGAGAGCGGGATCAATCGGATTTGTGTGACGTCTTTATCTTTAGTAGGCTTATGCATTAAACTAATAAAACGGGAGATGCAATCCAAATAAGCCATTTTGGTTTATTTAAGAAATATCTAATCGATTTTCTATTTGCAGAAATATTAGTGAAACAGCAAGGCGAAAACCAAAGTGACTAATTCAAAGCATGCCATGGGACCTGTTGAAATACATACAACAATATTTCTAGCAAAGCAAATCTTTGCTAATTTAGGTATGTAAACCAACAAAGTTAGTAGCAAATTTCATAGAATCTATTTGATTGTTATATCAAATTTGTACTGTAGTGCTGCCAGTGAGGGCAACTTTTTGACGTGCACTCATCGCTCCCCGGACCTATGACAAAGGATTTGATCGGGGCGCTTCGGGCGGTATGTCTCATTATGTTTCCGTTTTCTGCTGGCTAACTTCTATATACTAAGTAATACGCACCACTTTTCTATCAGGCCCAGCCCGAAGACGCAAATGAACTCCCTGATGCCACATTGTCTATTGATGGACCCCAGTATATGAATGACTTCTTCGCTCAGGTATGCCATTTGATTGTTGACACTTTTCAGGTTGAGGACATAAGAAATTTGATAGAACGTGTACAGTCTCTGGTCGAAGATGTGAAAAACAAACACAGTGATATCCTCTCCTCCCCCAACCAGGATGAATGTATGGATCTATGTTCCAACCTCACAATTTTTTAGCCACTAAAGCGCAGTTAGAAGAAGCAATGGCAGAGATTAAAATGATTGCTCACAAAGTTCGTGCCAAGCTAAAACGTTTGTTCTAACCTTTGCGTAATCGAACCTATTTTAGAGATGGAAATGAACATTGAATATGACGAAAACTCGGACAAATCTTCAGCCGATCTACGTATCCGGAAAACACAAGTACCAGATGCACATACTTAACATTTTAGCATTCAGTACTCTACAATCTCTCGAAATTTTATTGAAGTTATGACTGATTACAACAAAGCTCAGGTGGCATTTCGCGACGCGTGCAAGAACAGAATCAAGCGCCAGATGGAAATTGGCAAGTGTGATTTTTTCCTATTAGTTGAACCAACGCATTGTTGTATTAATTGCGGTGGTCTCTTTGTATCTGCTTATTTCCTGATCTGCTTGCGTGGTTCTGCGTTCCCGCATAGCTCGGCTGTTATTTATTGGAGCTACCTAATTCAGCTTTTGCGAATCCGAAACATTTTGACGCTCTTGTCAAGATGTTTCGTGGATTAGATCCTTCCATATCGGTGTTGCTCAGGGTCGTGGTCACTTTTGTACACAGTGATTATGATAAGGCTTGCGATCTCGTCGAGCAGCATTCTGATTCATGTGTCTGTGAAGCTAATTTGCCGCTTGTTGATTTAGCTTTGCGAGGTACACAAGACTCTTTTCTAACTGCTAGCTCTGTATCTGAGACAGGTTCTCGTACAGCTGCTGATGAGGATGCGATTCACCCTAAGCTTTTGAACGAACTAGCAAGTGAACTTTCTGAGATGTCGCTTCAGCTTTGTGCTCAGCCTAAGAGCTGGAAGCAGGCTGTTGTCTTCCCTGTCTGGAACTGTACTGGAAAAGCCCGAGGTGGGTATTTACTGTCAGCAAAGTTCTGCGCAGCTGGACAGCTGTGATTTGCAAATACGCATCAGCTAGGTCAAGGTTTGCGAAACGTTTCCCCCCATTGAGTTTGCTGAACAAATAAATAAATAAATAAATAAATAGGTATATTTCTAGACCTGCTAGAGGCTGCACCCTAAAGGGTTCAGATCAAGGCTTACATTTATCCGATGCTCTTGCATGGAAGTTGTCAACATATATGTTCATCGTTAGCAATTGCAAATGCATTGGCACAGTTTAGTATAAAGCTACTGGGTCGCAGGCGCCCACCTTGACATTTTTCTGGTTCCTTCGGGCGATATTGAGCTCCTTGTCTTTTATTGTGAAAACTTCGCGGAGGTGTAGTTTGCCTTTTCTCCTTGGAACAGAATCCAATTCGCCACAATTTCACTTTAAATTGATCGCACAATAATTGGCCACTCTGTTGCCCCAATTGTTGTTGCGCACATGGAAGAAATGAATGAAGGGATTATAAGGCATACGAAAAGTTAAAAACAATTCCGATAAATGCAGACATAAATAGAAGCAATTTGTTAAGAGGGAAAATAAAGCTGCGTGCTTTAGTAGAAAAATACCAATTAACAAAAAAATAGAGCCCTACTTTTCTTACGTTGATATTGCTCTCCGGCGTAAAATTTCAACCTGATTTATTCTCAGATAAAAGAAAAAGCCTTTCTACAGTTACAATACCGCTTAAAGTAGCACAAAATTACACTGATCTGGACCAGCTTTAGCGCCTGAATACGATGAACGTAAAAGCAACACCATGCGTGCAGTAGTTTGCGAGTTATTCGCAATTAAACGATGGTCTACGAATAAGGCCATTTTTATTTTTCGCTAAAAATGACTTTCTGCTTTGCAGGCAGATAGCAGAAAAAATAAAAGAAAATATAAAAAGTAGGGAAGCGGTGTACGTTCTAGATAGGCATAGCTATCCAGAAATGCTCTAATTAGCCCGTACTACCCTGCGACAACTACGGACTGCGCAGGTGGCCGAAAAGTAAACTTTGCAGGCAAGCATGAAAAATATATGCAATTAAGGAATGAGCTTGCGCGAAAACGCTAGAAATCCAGCAAAGAATATTATATCTACAAGGGAATTCAGGGGAGCTTGTAATTAACTCACGGTTAGAAGGCCACAGCATACCATTTTCAGTGGATACTGAGCCACATAAACAGAAACATTTCCTCCCATTGAGTTTGCTGAACAAGTCTTCTGGGACCGGCAGGGGATACTGATGATCCTCCAACACAAAATTCAAACCTGTCGAGAAATCAGCACAAATACGGACTTACCTTTTCCTTTCTTTACCACCACGATAGGTGCCACCCATTCGGAATAGTGAACTCGTTCGATTATCCCTTCAGGTTGTAGTCGATTTAACTCGGCTTCCACTAAATACTGGGTTGCGTAAGGCACCGGGCGTCTTGGTCTAAAGACTGGCTTGGCGTCCGGTTTAAGGTTCAATGAAGCAGTAGCTATGTTACAGCATCCGAGACCATGTTGAAACAATGCATCTTGACGTGGTTTTATCTCTGCAATCTGACTTTGAAACATCGGGCTTGAAGGTGACGGTTGTGACAGCAGATTGACTTGTGGTGGTTGACATATGCTGTTCACTGATTGATCAAGCAGTTTCAGTTCATCCATCCAGTCAAGCCCCAACAAATCTAACCCCGGCTGGTCTGTCACGAAACACGTCGTCTGGCTTTGTTTATCGCGGAAGTTTACCTGACAATTCAGTTCACCAAGCAATTTCAACCTACCTCCTGAAGCACTTCATGCCGTGTGGTCCGTTTGTATGAGTGTTGGTAGCCCCAGCATGCACCAAGTGTCGCGAGATATCAGGGTGATACCTGAAGCCGTGTCCATTTGTAACTTGACTTGGTAGCCGTTGATTTTCACAATTGTGTATTTGCGCTTGCTGGCCCCGTCAACCTTGGATGTTGCGGTGATAGATCTGGTTAAATTGGGACGCCGGAACTGTCTGGTATTGTTACGCATCTTCTTGGACAAAATTGGACGAGTCGCCAGGCAACATGACTCCTTATGCCCTTTTCTGCCGCAACGGTTGCAAATGTGAGTTTTGAATGGGCACTCGCGGGCAAAATGCCACTCTCTACAAAACCAACATGCAGTGGGAGGTTTAGAATGCGGTGAACTCACGTGGGTAGCTTCTTTTCGGGGAGTACGGCTGACTGCACAGACAAATTCTTGATCGTTCTGGTTGGACAACTGCTGAATCATTGCGGTATCGTGTTTCAGATTCATCATGCCTTGGCACTCACCGGTCACTTGCTGCAATGTGACATTCGGATTCTGCTCAATTTTATTCAGTATTCGTGTTCGAATGTTTGTCTTTGGATGCTTGTAGGCCACAAACGTATATGAGACATTTAAACTGATCACTTGTCATCTTGTGTAGTTGTGACCGTTCGCACTCTCAATTCACACGGCTGGAATAGTCGACCCAGTCTTCGTCTTCCTTTTTGCTTATTGTCAGACACTTGTACAGGATGTTGAACAAAGATGTCTGTTCTCCGAAAATCTGCGACAGGACTGCAACCACTTCGTCGAAGGACAAATCGGTACTCTTTTTAGGTAAGATAAAATTGGTGAACTTCTCGTGTTCGGCAGCACCCAGCTTCCGCAGCATTAGTCGAATCTTCTTTTCTGCTGGAAGGTTGGCAAAATCAACCCGGAACATATCTTCATACTTGTGGAACCAAGAAACAAATGTTATACCGGCATCAGCATCATAATGGAACTCACTGATCTGCTGAGTCAGAGTTTCTGGTGAGGGAGCACCTTCACTTGTCCCTAAACCTGGGCTTGACTGCACTGTCATCTTCTGAGTTAGCATCTCGATCAGCTTAGCCTGGGATGCTTCAAACTGCGCCTGTTGTTGCTGCAACAGCATCTGCAATTGTTCAAAGCTGATTGCCATTTCTGGGTTCGGTTGTACTCGCGTCGCCACTGTTGTAACGCTGTGCCCGCTCTCGCCTGGTTGATTCACGCCTGTTGCTAAATCTGCGCCCTTACGCGTGCTCTGATTTTCGCCTTGACAAACCTGACCAGAACGGAGACATAAGACTACTCAGCAGACCAGAGTTGTATCAAGGCAAAGAACGCTCATATTTATATGTCACTATCACCAGGCGGATTTGGCTCTAAGCCGACGTTCCACACCTACTTGTCCGCTGCATCTGTCCAGTTCACCGTGTTGCTCGGGGACTCCAGTCTTCGTTCGCCTACCCGGCGCATGGCAACGCACGTGATGTCTGACGCGTGCTTTCATCAACATTCGGTCTGGCCTTAGCAACACGCCTGGTGTCTGATCAGATTTCGGCTGGGCCCTGGTAGCACGCTGGGAGAGTCCTTCCCAAGCACGATTGGTGGTAAACGAGCGAGCATTGGCTCTCAGCTTTCTCGCCCAGCCTCACTATGTTTTCACTGACGATGTTCGCAAGTGCCACACCCGACGAGCATTTATCACACCTCCGAATGGTTTTCGAACGCTTTGAAAGTCACGGTATAACCATAAACCCGGACAGATGCAAATGTGGTCAGCCAACGGTAGAATTTCTAGGTTACAAGATTGATGGTGAAGGTAATAAATATCTCCCGGTTATATCTCAAGCTATCCTAGACTATCCGATGCCCCAATCTGTCCAAAGCCTACGCCGATTTCTCGGTACCATCAACTACTACGGCAGGTTCATCCCCAACTCTGCTGAGTTACTTCATCAGCTACCCGACTTATTGAAAGGAAACTCAAAGACGTTGACCATAATCCCAGTAGTTGAAGAAGCTGTCACGGCCGTCAAGCAGAAGTTTAGTGAGGTCACCTCTCTGCATCACTTGAACACCACTGAGGACGCTACCCTTGTCCTTAAGACGGATGCCTTAAGTTGCGCAGTCGGCGTAGTTTTGCAGCAGTTAGTTGCTAACGAATTTCAACCGCTGTCGTTTTTCTCACGGAAGCTCCAACCTGCTCAGTTCAGGTGCAGTACATTTGGTCATGAACTGCTCGCCATGTGTATGGCTGTGAAACATTTCTGTCACCTTTTAGAAGGACGTCGTTTCA